TTTTTTTTTTTTTTTTTTGAGACAGACTCTCAAGCTGTGGTCATGGGTAGAGAACCCTGGCATCATAGTTCACAGTAACCTCCAACTGTTAGGCTCAAACAATCCTCTTGCCTCATTTTTTCTATTTTTAGTAGAGATAGGGTCTCACTTTTGCTCAGGTTGGTCTCCAACTTGGGAACTCAAGCAGTCCACCTGCCTCAGCCTCCCAGAATGCTAGGATGACAGGCAGCAATCAATCCCCAGCAATGGCTCTTCCCAACAGCCATGTCCCAGAAGGCTAAGGTAAAGCCAAATACCCACCCATACTAAGTCCTCATGAAATGAGGTGAACACGGGGCTGGCCAAGTCTGACCTAGCCATGCAACAGCCCAGAGATGAACACATGGCTAGCCAAGTCTGACCTAGCCATGAAGCAGCCCAGAGCTCCTTACCCTTCTCCACTAGGCTTTCACAAGTCTGGACCCTCCATAAACAAAAATTCTCAGCCACATCTTCTCTGGCCACAGACCCAGAACTGACTCTGCATGAGTGCCATGTGTCTCAAGGAAGGGTGCACATCCTCTGGCCCATCCTCACACACCCCAACCCTCCCTGTCCCACCTTCTCTTCTGACACAGGAAGGGAGGCAGGCAGGCTGGGAAAGGCTCACCCCAGCTCACAAGTGCCATTTGCCTGGTCAATGCTTCTTAGGGTGGGCTTTCTGTAATAACAGTGCATAAACTCCACATCATACTCATAATGGACAAGAAAAGAGTGGGAAACAGTGTTTCCAGTTCAGAGGTAAGGTGCCACAACAGAAGACTATTGCAGATTTTTTTTTTTGCATCCAAAATATTTTTAATAGAACAGTAGATTCCAGGATTAGTTGGCCTGACGGCCACTGGCACACTTTAACTTCCAGCCCTTGGAAGAGACATAGGATTTGGTGTGGCTGTGCAAGGTTCCTGGGGCCTTGCCAAAATGCCAGTATACCTCCCAACCCTTTCGAGAACTAGAAAGTAGGACAGTGCCATGGCCCTTGGGGGAATCTAGGGCCAGCTGGTCGAAGGTGAGGATCTTGCCTCCAGCCTTGAGGATATGGGTGCAGACCCAGCTGCTCATGCACAAGGCACACACCTTCAGTTTGGGCACTTCCTGAACCCACACATCATCTGTTATGGTCCCCACAACCATAGCTATTTTGTTTTCCTGGCCACGAAGTTTCATCTTCCAGATCACTGGGGAAAGAGATAGTGGTGCCCAATTGGTAAACAACCTCTTCAGCACAACCTAGTTGAAGGTAGAGTTGGTTCGTCTGGCCAGAAACCTGTACACCTTGACCAATAGCCTTAGGTAAATGTCCTGGCTCTTGGGCTCCCTGCAATCAACCTTTTGGTCCTCGTTGTGGTGAATAATGACTCCCATGATGGTGACACCCATTGCAGAATTTATATATAACAGCCATTTCTGGGACATACGCAGGAAGGCTGGTGGGAGAAGGTGCAAGGACAGGTCTGTGGTGTGGACAGGCCAGATGTGGAAGCAACAGGAGCCCCACCCCCACCAGGCTCTGCCCATCAGGCATCACTGGGCCCATTCAGAGCTACAACCTCCCTCAACCCTGTTACAACCACACCCTGGAGGATCTGCCACAGACACTACATGACAGGAGCCCTCTGGAGTCAAGGGAAAAGCCCCTCTCCATCTGAGGGAACCCCAAGACCAGGCACCAGCAGGACCCCAAGCAGCTCAGCTCCTCTGGGTTTGGTGAAGCCCACAGTATAGGCTAAGACCTGGAAGTAAGACTCGATGATGTGTATTTTACGGAAAGCTAAGCATGCCTGGCCAGGTGGCATACTGTTTTCAGGCTTTGAGGCAAATGTGCCCAGCAATTTGGAAGATGCCACCAAGTCCCTAGTCTCTGGGCTAGACTGAGAGGAAGCTGAGGACAACCAAGGCAGTGAGCAGAGCCCCCCACCTCACTGACCAGTGCGGCAGTTGGGCTGAGCTAAGGGCATCTTCTCAGGGCCATGAGCTGTCTTGAGTCATCCAGACACCCGAGCACCCACCCATGGTGGCTGGCACAGCACCCAGCTCACAGGTATCCCAAGAGGCAGGCTCGTGGGCCAGAGGAGGGACAACCTTGCTGGGACCCACAGCATGGGCCCTTACCACACTCACAGAGACTCAGAAGGGCCCAAAAGAGGGTTTGTAAGCAGATGCGAGAGTCACTCCCTCTCCACAAATACCGCAGCACCAGCCAGGACCCTGCACACCCTCCCTCAGGGCTAGGCAGAGAAGGTGGGGTGCTCTGAGATTCCAAAAAGAAGCTGCAGGGAACAGCAACTTACTGGTTATGATGAGATGTAAAATCAGGCACACCCTGCCAGTAAGGAAGCCCCTCCTCAAGGCAGGCACCAAGCTTTTTGTTTGTTTGTTTTTAATTTTTTTTTTTTTTTGAGACAG